GCCCCCCTTCCTCGCGCGGCCCGGCCCGCGGGGCTCCCGGCCGCCGCAGCTGATGGTGTTCCGCAACGTGGGTCGACCGCCCGAGCAGGAGGACGCGGAGGCGGCTCCGGAGCCGGGACCCTCGGAACTGCTGTGTCCCCGGCACCGCTGTGCCCTGGACCCCAAGGCCCTGCCACCGGGCTTGGCGCTCGAGCGCTCCTGGGGCCCGGTCGCTGGACTAGAGGCACAGTTAGCGGCTCTGGGGCTCGGGCAGCCGGCGGGGCCGGGGGTCAAGACGGTCGGTGGGGGTTGCTGTCCGTGCCCGTGCCCCCCGCAGCCGCCCCCTCCGCTGCCCCAGCCGCCTGCTGCCGCCCCGCAGGCCGGGGAGGACCCCACCGAAACGAGCGACGCGCTGCTGGTCCTGGAAGGCTTGGAATCGGAGGCCGAGAGCCTGGAGACTAACAGCTGCTCGGAAGAGGAGCTCAGCAGCCCCGGCCGTGGAGGAGGAGGGGGCAGCCGGCTTCTGCTGCAGCCCCCAGGCCCCGAATTACCTCCGGCGCCCTTCCCACTGCAGGACTTGGTCCCTTCAGGGCGGCTGAATCGAGGGGAGCAGCAGCAGCAGCAACCGCAACCTCCGCCGCCGCCGCTGCCTCCAGGGCCCCTCCGGCCCCACGCGGGCCCTTCTAGGAAGGGTTCCTTCAAAATCCGCCTCAGTCGCCTCTTTCGCACCAAGAGCTGCAACGGTGGCTCGGGAGGTGGGGATGGCACCGGCAAGAGGCCTTCAGGAGAGCTGGCTGCTTCTGCTGCGAGCCTGACGGACATGGGAGGCTCTGTGGGCCGGGAGCTGGACTCGGGGAGGTGAGACCGTCTGGGGGTCGGGGGAGCTGGCCACAAACTTGCCTTTTTTTTCTTTTTTTTTCTGTTAGCATCATCCTAACAGTTCTCATGATCTTTGCGAAGAGGCACACTTGAGGCTAAAGGTGGTGACATCTTGCTTTCAGATCAAGAGCTAATTGTGGAAACAGCTTTCACTCTTAAGAGAGTTCACACTCCGTGACACTTCTCTGCTGGTTGGCAACACGCTCTTTGGGAATGACTTGAAACCATCTGCCCACCCCCATCCTGGCCTCACTTTTTTAAGTTTTTCTAAGGTGTCTTGTCTACCGTTACCCCCACAGGGAGGTTGCTGGAAATGGGCCTTGCACAAAAGGCTGGGTGTTGATTACTTTGCTTATTATGTTGGCCACCTTGCTGGTTTTTCTGTGGACCTGCACTCCCTTCTTCCCTTCAGCCTCATGCATGCATAGAGGCTAAGGACCGTATGCAGTATAGGCCATCAGTCAGTTGGGTATCTTAAATTTGGTTTAATGCTTTCCTGGTTTTTTCCCTTAGATGTACTTGCTGTCTAAAGCCTGTGTACTGACCACTGCCTGTGGGAATAGAAAATAGCTTTGCTTGCTTTCTCTGAAGCCCAGGTGAAAATTCTAAGTGTGAGTGAAGTATAGACATGGGTACTGTAGGCCAGTTAATGAAAATTGGTATTGAGGCCAACTAATGAAAATTCCAAACTTAAACATTAAGGCCAATAAGTGAAAGTTCCAGACTTAGACATTGAAGGTTTTTGTTTTTTGCTTGAATTCTTAAAGGGTGGACTGATTTTTGACATTCAATGAGATCAGTAGTATTGGTTTAGAAAGCTGTCAAGTTTCTAAACAACCAAGTTTTGTGTCAGTGAAATGAGACTTCGTTTGATGAAGGTTGCCATTATGGATTTTAGTTCTGAATGGGTCTTAACACCAGGCCTAGCTTTGTTTTTGATGTCGCTTATATGATGAATTCTCTTTTCTTTCCCTCCCTCTCTCCCAAAACCAAGGCCAAAGAACTGGTAAATCATATATATGGCCGGGCGCTGGTGGCTCACGCCTGTAATCCTAGCTACTCAGGAGGCTGAGATCTGAGGATCGTGGTTCAAAGCCAGCCCGGGCAGGAGAGACCGTGAGACTCCTATCTCCAATAAACCACCAGAAAACCGGAAGTGGCGCTGTAGCTCAAGTGGTAGAATGCTCAGCCTTGAGCTGAAGAGCTGAGGGACAGCGCCCAAGCCCAGAGTTCAAGCCCCACGACCGACAGAAAAAAAAAAAATCATATATATTGATAACCTTGCTGTGCACTAGAATCACTGGTGGAGCTTTTTGAAAAGGTTTATATGTTTGGAGCCAAAAATTTGAATTTTAAAAAGCTCCCCAGTTGATCCTGTAATTGAACCACTTACCCATGGACTTCTCATGGATATTTTGGTGTTCCAAGAGGCAAGTGTGCACTCAATTTATTTTGTTGCCCTTCCTGAACAGCTGTGCCATGGGTTTCTCTTGGGGATCAGACCAAATCCAAACTCCATAAAGAAATCAATGTCTTGCCCCTTCAGGCAGGACCATATTTCTCTGTTTGTTTCCTGATGAACTCATCCCAAGAACTCAGGTCTTAAAAAGTGTGTGACTGCTAAAAAAGTTTGTGTGTGTTTGTGTGTGTATGTGTGTGCATGTGCATGTTAGGTGATCCACCTACCAGTACAGACAGAATTTTCATCAGACGGGAGTGGAAGGCAGGATTGAAGCTGTGGGTAATAACATAGGATAGATTGCTAATTTTCTTGTGGTTTTCCCTGCCTTTGTTACATATTGACCAGGATTTGGGCTAATATTCCAGAGATGAAAAATATGAGGTGTGGCATGAAATTAGCTGTTACAGCTAATAGATTAAGAAGAGGACAAGGCATATAATATTATATGATGTTTTGCCTTTCGAAGCAGAATTTAATGGTCATTGGCGGCTGCTCTGCCACCAACCCTCACACTAAGCACAATACAGATTTTTGCTGCAGAGGAAACTGGGCTCTACTTCTGCAAAGAAGCTTAGTTCAGGGCACTGGAGAATTACATTTTTTGGTCCAAGGGCTTTTTCTGATGAATTGGAGAAGAGCTAGGCATTTGTGTGTAAACGTTTGGCTGACTGGTATTTGGAGGCAGCATGTTGTATAAAGAATGTGAAAGTCAAAAAAAAATAAAAAAAGAATGTGAAAGTCTAGATTCTATTTAGAACTCCAACATTATCTATGAGATGGAGGCCAAATTTGTCTTTATACATCCCTGTTTCATCCATAAAATGGGAGAAATAGCTATCTTGTTCCTGTTCCTATAGAAATAGAATGAAGACAAAAGAAATATAGATGGACTATTTTGTACCTTTTGGAAGAGAAGTAATAAAACTAAATTGGTAAATTTTTCTGTGCTTAGGATTTGGTGCTACTTGTTAGCTTTTCCACAGCTTACTATGTGCCAGTCTTGCTGGCAGCCTCACAGCTGTGAGAAACTTGGTAAATCTGGCTAGGGTGGGTGTGATTTTTGTGGATCTGTACCTCCACACAAGTCTGCCTTGTTGAGAAAAAGGATGAGTTTGGATTTTTAGCTTAGTCGCTTGATTGGTAGGACCTGGGAGCAGTGAGAAATTTCAGTCTTTTGCCAAAGGGTGTGTGTCTTCCTCCTTATTGTTGGTTGGAGTTAATTATGGGCCTCTGCTGTTCTTGCTGTGTAATTTGAGCATTTATAATAACCTCTAGGCATAATTCTCAACATCTGCCTTTACTGCCTACCTTTACCACAGCTAGACTAGAAAGTACTGCTAGCATTTTATAATACTTAGCATTTCCTATATTTAACACTAAGCAAAACTTGACTTCCTTTCACCTGTTCTTGGGTCTACCAAATGGACCTCTTGGATATTACTGAGTCTTAAAGGAGTATAAGTTAGCTTAGAGAACACTGTTTTTTTGTTTTTTGTTTTGGTCATGGGGCTTGAACTCTGGGCCTGTGCACTGTGCCTGAGCTCTTCAGCTAAAGGCTAGTTAGTGCTCTAGCACTTGAGCCACAAGCCACTTTGGGTTTTCTGGTGGTTAATTGGAGATGGGCTAACGATCCTCAGATCTCAGCCTCCTGAGTACGATTACACGTGTGAGCCCCTGCCACACCAGGCTTAGAGAATGCCTTTTAAGTGAAGTAAGAAATGAGCCTGCCAATTAATCAGGTTTCTATTCTTAGGAACTAGGCTAGGCCTTATACCACACATATGTTGTAATTCAGAGAACTGGGCTTGATGCCTGTGGGCCTCAATGTAATATAGAGCTTTGCTATTTCAGGAAAAGCAGTGGACGTCCCTTGTCTACTTCACATATGTTGAGCTGGTTGTCTTCCTTTGGATTTGGTGAGAAACAGCATGATATGCCCTTGAATTGTCATATGGTATACACTTGGTTGGGAATAGGTGCCTTTTTCTCTTTTAAAGACTTGTTTTTACTGAATTCAACCATTGAGGCTATTACTGGCAGTCCTCATAGTTCTATGATGATTTTTACAGGCTATATTGGCATCAGTTTGGGACTCTGCTGTCTTAGACAGACCTGTCATACAGGAGAAACTTTTTTTTTGGGGGGGGTCTGGTTGTGGGGCCTGAACTCTGGGCTTGGGCACTGTTCTTCAGCTCTTTAGCTCAAGGCTAGCTCTCTACCACTTGAGCCACAGCGCCACTTCCGGCTTTTTTCTTTTTGCTCATGTGGTGCTGAGGAATCGAACCCAGGGCCTCATGCATGCAAGGCAAGCTCTCTACCACTGAGCCACCTTCCCAGCCCCAGGAGAAACTCATTTTATTTTTTAGTGGTACTGGGGTTCAAACTCAGAGCTTCATGCTTGCTAAGTAGATGCTCTGCTGCTAAACCATGCCTCTGGCCATGTTTTGTACTTGTTATTTTTGACAGGCACTTGGACTACAATTTGCCTATTATTTAGACTGCCTGTTGCTACTGAGATGACAGGTGTGCACCACTGTGTCTAGCTTCCCTCTGTTGAGAAAGAATCTTGCAAACTTTTCTGCCTTGGATGGCCTGGAGCTGTGTACCTCCAGTATACTTTCGAATGACAGTCACACTTCAGTGAACCCAGCTAGGGTTAGGGGAGGGGGTCTCACAAATTTCTGCCTGGCCTCTTAATTGTGATCCTTCCATTCTCAGCCTCATAAGAAGCTAGGATTATAGGCTTGGGCCATTGACACCCAGCTCAGAAAGTTTTTTCACTGTTTCTGTGGGTATTGAGGTCTATAGGAGTCTTTTTATGTTAGAGCACAACATATTGAGAGCAAAATAATTTTATGGCATGGTAAGGAAGTCCTGGCCGTTTGGGTTTTGGGTCTACACTCTGTTGATCTTTTTAACTGTCTTTCCAAAAAGTAGTTGTGGTTGGCAGCTCTCTTAGAACTAGCTCCCGGGCTTTAGAAATCTCTAACCCTTTGAGTCTTGTGCCTTTCACATCTCAATACTTTCCCAGCCAATGTCATTCCTAAGGTTTTATGACTTGGACTGAGCCTCTTGGCTTTTCCCTGGTGGTTCCTTCTATGGGTTCTTTAGCTGGTTTAGGGTGGCATTTTGGATCTGACCTTGCTGCACAGATGTCTGTGTATTGGAACTAAAAATGAACACATGGTTTTTGTGCCTGTAGCACATGGACAGACACTGGCTTATGATGTGTTGGAAATGGCACAGGCTGCTTGACTTGGCACTGTGTTCTTAAACAAGGGCAAGAGGTACATTGGGACCCTAAGTCAACCAAGTATTTGGGCATCCTAGTTTGGAAATTACTTTGGAAAAGACTATGTATATGTCTTAGAGCATCAGTAGAGAGGATCTGTGGTCACCAAGGTGGAAGGCATTACTATTTTATTGTTTATATTTTAGGTTTTAAGGAATTTGAAAACTGACAGTGGTTATATCTTATATCTATGTGGTATTATCCTATCTAATCTCATACTTATAACTGCTTTTTTTTTTTTTTTTGTCGGTCGTGGGGCTTGAACTCTGGGCCTGGGCGCTGTCCCTCAGCTCTTCAGCTTAAGGCGAGCGCTCTACCACTTGAGCTACAGCGCCACTTCCGGTTTTCTGGTGGTTTATTGGAGATAGGAGTCTCACGGTCTCTCCTGCCCGGGCTGGCTTTGAACCGCGATCCTCAGATCTCAGCCTCCTGAGTAGCTAGGATTACAGGCGTGAGCCACCAGCGCCCGGCTACTTATAACTGCTTTTATCTTATAAACCTTGTTACCAGACAGTAGAGATGAACAGAGGCACAGACAATGATACAAAAGGACTTCTAGCCCAAGTCCTTTGACCCCATCCTGTGGAGTTACCAGAGGCATAACCCACCAAATCCTATCCCATCTCAATCTACCACTGAAATGTTTCTGCTACTAAGATACAAGTGGCCCACTGGCAAAATTATAATGGCTTAACTTTGTACCTGCCCATTGTCAGAGTGATGTGGGGAGGCATTAATAACATGGGTATGTCATACAGAAGGTTAGTTTAAAATATTTATCTGAAACCGTAACACTCGTGATGCCTTCCAAAAAAGTTTTGCCTTCCAAAAAATCAGTTTAGAATAGGCTTTTTATCATTCCAGATGTTTAATATATACAAAAAGATATAAAAGATATATGTACATGAATAACAAATACATACCTAGGTCTTACAATTAAGCTTGGCATATGTTTAGAATATTACCAGTACCTTTGAAGACCCCAGTGTTGCTTCCTGATTACATTTTACTTTTCCCTTAGATAAATGAAATGCCACCCTCAATTTTCAATTTTGTGTTAATCATTCATTTTTTTCCCCTTTTTTTTTTCTTTTTTCCGGTCCAGGGGCCTGAACTCTGGGCCTGGCGCTGTCACTCAGCTCTTCAGCTCAAGGCTAGTGCTCTACCACTTGAGCCACAGCGCCGCTTTTGGCTTTTTCTGTTTATTTGGAGGAATAGAACCCAGGGCTTCATGCATGGGAGGCAAGCACTCTACCACTGAGCCACCTTCTCTTTTAATAGTCATTTAGATCCCCCCCCCCCCCAAATGACTGCCAGTAGAATGCTGCTTTGGGTGTTTAGTTAGGCAGCATTTCCTTGAAGAGAGAAGGAAGTACAGGTATTTATTATTAGCCTCTCAGTCTCTTAGACCTTTTACTTCTTCGCTTCCAGCTCTGAAGCACCCTTATTTGCCAAGAAAAACCATCCTGGCACGCTAAAATGGCTCTGCCTGAGTTTAGATTCAGATGTTTTTCTTTTTCTAGAGCCTAGGAACTATGATTTTTCTTCTTCAAAATGTCGGGGGTGGGGAGAAGATGAGCTGAAGTGAGAAGGCCTCCGCAAGATGTGTGCATTTGGGTACTGCCGTTCTTCAGTGCTTGGCACTGGAGAGACTCGTCCTCAGCATGGGCAGATGGCAGAGTAATGCAGCTTCCTTTGAAAAGAGGCAAACAGCCAAATGGCTGAGGTGTGAACCTTTTCAAAGGCCAGTGCTTTGGTTTCTACTTGCTGAGTTTAATGTACCCACAAGTTATCGTACAAAACTCAGTTTAGAAGCTTTTTAGTGGTCTTAAGGTTGATGTTCAGTGGAATTTATATTCCATTCTAGCCATTTGGATTGTTGGCACCAAGCTGCAATCACGAACTTTTATAAACAGAGGGACTATGTTTGTTTTGTTTGTATATAATGCTGTGGGGGTGGTGTTCAGTGTATGCCGTTAGATCGCTCAAGCCTCAGCATGACACAGGGTGTGAAGACTGGTCAAGAGAAGGGAACTCACCAGTGTTTCCTTAGGAGGATCGTGTGGTTTTAGAATTTTGTTTGCATTTTAAGGAGCTCAGATGAAGCTTTTCTGAAAGGTAAATAAATACACAAACATCTTCTGAAGCCAAATAACTTTAAAGTAGGATTTCATTTTGGATTTTTTTTCCCTCTTGATTGCAATTGAAAGCTAAGACAGTTTACCTTCTATTTAATCTTTTGGGTGAGAATCTTTTTGGAAGTTGAGCCAACTATAACGTATGTAGTCAGGAACCACATAATTATAGTTATAATGCTTGGTATCAGTCAATTGTAGGTTGAGATTTTTTTTAAGTCTGGTTGATTGAGGTATCATTTAAATGCCATAAAATTCAGCTCTTTCGGGTGTCTAGTTCTACTAATTTTGACAAACTTATATAGTCTCCAGAACTACATCGTTGAACATGTAGCCTATTTCCATCACCTCAATATTTTTGCCTTAGCTGGGTCCTAGAGACCTGTAATCCTAACTATTCAGTTGGCTGAGATTTGAGGGTCGCAGTTTGAAGCCAGCTGGGGCAGAAAAATCCATGAGACTCTTACCTCCATTAATAGCAAAAAGACAAAAGTAGAGATATGGCTCAAGTGTATATGTATAACAACAGCATTGAGCGAAAGAGCCAAGCAAGAGTGCGAGGCCCTGAGTTCAGGCCTTAGTATTGGTACAAAGAAAAGGAAAAAGCTATTTGCATTGTGATTTTTGCATTGTAGTCAGGTGGAGGGTTTTTTTTTGTTTAGTTTTTTAGTTTAGCATATTTTTGGGAAGAATGGAGTAAAGTCTTTTTCATTTCTTCCGTGTGTGTGTGTGTGTGTGTGTGCACGCGCGCATGCGCATGTGCTTATACTGGGGCTTGAACTCAGGGGCTGGGCACTGTCCCTCAGCTTTTTCACTGAAGCCTGGCACTCTGCCACTTGAGCTACAGCTTCACTACCAACTTTTTTGGTGGTTAATTGGAGATTAATTGGAGTCTCAGGGACTTCTCTCCCTGGGCTGGCTTCTCAGATCTCAACCTCCTGAGTAGCTGGAATTACAGGCATGAACCACTGATGCCCTGGCTTCATTTCTTTTTATTTTCTCTGAAATGCTATTTGAAATTTGTACAAAGCAGTCTTTGGTGTGTAATCAAAGGTATAGTCCCTGGAGCAGCATTAAAGAGGAGTCAGAGGTCTGGGAAGGTAGCTCAGTGGTAGAGCGCTTGCCTTGCATGCCAGAGGCCCTGGGTTCGATTCCTCAGGACCACATAAGCAAAAAGAAAAAAGCTGGAGGTGGCGCTGTGGCTCAAGTGGTAGAGCGCTAGCCTTGAGCTGAAGAGCTAAGGGACAGCGCCCAGGCCCAGAGTTCAGGCCCCATGACTGGACCCAAAAAAACAAACAAACAAAAAATGCCCAGGCACAGCACCCAAGCTAAATTCAAGCCCTGGACCAGCACCAAAAAAAAAAAAAAAAACCAAAATAAATAAAGAGGAGTGAGAGGTATGTGACTAAGAGAGGAAGGGATGTGCTTGGGTGCTAGGCAGAGCCTCTGTCCTGAGAATGCTTAGCCAGGACTTTGGCCCAGTTCTCTGGGCAATTGGGCAGAAATAGTCTTCTGGTTGAAGATTAGGTGTCTTGTATTGCCCTTCTCAAGTCTGAATATGATTTCTGGTTTTACCAATTTCTTTGGGGACCTCTTGCTCTTAGAGGTGGACCCAGAAGGAAAGCTATTGTTTCAAGTGCCTAGTCAAGTCTGGAGCATTTTTCTTGGCTCCCAAATGAAAATAACTCTATCTGATTCTCTTTCTCTTGAAATGGACTTGCTAATTACCATTCAAGGTGTTCTACTTTTTTAATGTGTTGAGTTTAGAGAGATTCAAAGGGATTTCTCACTGCTTTGTAAGCTGGTGAATTTGGTAGCCAAATCTATTTAAGGAATTGCTTTAATTATTCTCCTTTAAATTTTAGGCTTTATCACAAAAAGTGTTTCTGACAATGAATGGAGTTTTGCTTTGTTTTTCAATGCATCTGGAATTGAGTTGTAGTAATTTAAATGCATACATGTTCATTTCTCCCTTTTATTCTATTCTTACTCCCCAGGAAACCCAGATTGACAAGAACTCAAAGTGCCTTTTCTCCAGTCTCCTTCAGTCCCCTGTTCACAGGTAAGGATGATGTTTTTCTCTTTCGTTTGACATCTGAGTGTTTAGAGACCTGTCAAGAAAACACTTGCAGATGCCTCCCAGGGGAGCTTTGGGCATGTCTACAGTAATTTCCCTCATTAGGGTGAAGCTATTTTTATGGTGTAGAATGTGCTCTGGACTTTCAGTGCTTTGTACCAGGAGGTATAGTCTGCTTGTTGATGATTGACTATCCCTAGCAGTTATACAGTGCTTAGTTTACAATCATCACATATAAATTACAAGTAGAAATTATAGTCTCACAATGCATTAAAGACTCTAGAAGTCAGCTGGGCACCGGTGGATCACGCCTGTAATCCTAGCTACTCAAGAGGCTGAGATCTGAGGATCACGGTTCAAAGCCAACCTGGGCAGGAAAGTCCGTGAGACTCTTATCTCCAATAAACCACTAGAAAACTGGAAGTGGTGCTGTGGCTCAAGCAGTAGAGCACTGGTCTTGAGCTGAAGAGCTGAGGGATAGCTCCAAAGCTCAGAGTTAAAGCCCCACAAAACAACAACAACAACAACAACAAAAAACTCTAGAAGTCATATAGGTCCTATCCTTACTTCCAAAGGAGTTCATAGATTATCTGATAAAAATGATCCATGTGGGGATGGGAGGTTGGCTCAGGGATAGAGTGCTTGCCTTGTATGCATGAGGCCCTGGGTTTGATTCCTCAGTACCACATAAACAGAAAAAAGCTGAAAGTGGCACTGTTGCTCAAGTGGTAGGGTGCTAGCCTTGAGCTGTAGAGCTGAGGGACAACACCCATGCCCAGAGTTCAGCCCCCACGACTGACAAAAATAAAAAAATAAAAAAAATAAATTCATGAATAGTTGCTCTTTTTTTTTCTTTTTTCTTTTATCTTTTTGTTGCTTGTGGGGCTCGAACTTGGGTTGCTGTCCCTGAGTACCTTTGCTCAAGACTAGCATTCTACCACTTTGAGCCACAGCACCACTTCTGGTTTTCTGGTGGTTAATTGGAGTAAGAGTCTCATGGACTTTCTTGCCCAGGCTAACTTTCGATTTTCAGATCTCAGCCTTCTAAGTAGCTAGGATTGTAGGTGTGAGCTACCAGTGCCCAGCTCATGCGTGCGTGCGTGCGTCTGTCTGTGCCAGTATTTGAGTTTGAACTCCAGACCCTGAGCTCTTGCTCTGCTTTCTCATTCACAGCTGCCACAGCTTCACTTCTAGCTTTTTGCTGATTAATGGGAGATGGACTCTCATGGACTTTCTTCCCAGGCTGGCTTTGAACTGTAGTCCTCCAGGTCTTTCTCTTGAGTAATTAGGATTACAAGCACAAGTTATCAGCCCCTGGTTTATCTGGTCTGTCTCTTCTTTCTTTTCTTTCCTGCCTATCCTGCAGCTTGAACTCACTGTCCCTGAGCTTTTTTGCTTGAAACTAGCTTTCCACTCCTTGAGTCACAGCTCCCCTTCTTAACTAGAGAATAAGAGTCTTAATTGGAGATAAGAGTCTCATGAACTTTTCTGCCCAGGCTGGCTTTGAACTGCAACTCTCAGATCTCAGCCTCCTGAGTAGCTAGGATTACAGGCATGAGCCACTGGTGTCCAGCTTATCTGGTCTATTTTAAGACTTCGGGGCATAAGGGATTACATGAGCGCTTATCTTACCTATTTTAGGGGCTAGCAGTTCTTGCAGCTGTTAGCATTCTTCATTCTATCTAATTTAAGTCTTTCCTCTTCTAGCAAGGAACACAGTTGCTAAAGTAGGAAAGCTGTTGAATGTCCTCTGAGTAATGGATAACTACTTTCTCATTTTATGGCAAACTGTTTCAGAGGGAGACCTTCTGTTCTGTTCATAGGATATGAAGCTCCTGATTAAAAAAACTGTAGGAAAGAAGGTCTTTTTCAAGTTACCTCAAGTCTCAGAAAGTTATATTCTCCTTAGTTGTGACTGAGAAGCCATTAAAAAACAATGTCAATCTTAGCTGGATGTGTTGTCACACACCTGTAATTCCACACTGGGGAGTTTGAGGCAAGAGGGTATAATGTGTCCTCTAAAGAGGTGATCGAGCTGCATGTTGGTGGCTCATGCCTGTCACCCTAGCTACTCAGGAGGCTAAAATCGGAGGATAACAGTTCAAAGCTAGTTAGGGCAGAAAAGTCTAAGAGATTCCATCTCCAAAATAACAAAGAACTGGGCTGAAAGTGTGATTCAACTAATAGCACACCAGTTGTGATCAAGCAAGCCAAGTGAGCAAGCAAGCCAAAGAGCAGCTTGAGGCACAGAGTTCAAGTCCTGGAACTGGCAAAAAGAAAAAGTGAAGCCGGAAAAAAAAAAAAAAGAAAAAGTGAAGCCGGGCGCTGGTGGCTCACGCCTGTAATCCTAGCTACTCAGGAGGCTGAGATCTGAGGATCGCAGTTCAAAGCCAGCTCGGCAGGAAAGTCCGTGAGACTTTTTTTTTGGGTCCAGTCATGGGGCCTGAACTCTGGGCCTGGGCACTGTCCCTCAGCTCTTCAGCTCAAGGCTAGCACTCTACCACTTGAGCCACAGCGCCACTTCTGGCTTTTTTTTCTTTTTGCTTATGTGGTGCTGAGGAATCAAACCCAGGGCCTTATACATGCAAGGCAAGCACTCTACCACTGACCAACCTCCCAACCCCAAAGCCTAACCCCAATAAACCACTAGAAAAATCTGAAGTGGCTTTTGTGGCTCAAGCGGTAGAGCGCTTGCCTTGAGCTGAAGAGCTGAGGGACAGCGCCCAGGCCCAGAGTTCAAGCCCCACAGCCGACAAAAAAAAAAAAAGAAAGAAAGAAAAAGTGATTAGAAGGATTATGATTTAGGAATGGGCATTTCAAGGAAGATGTTACGCATGTCAGTGAGTTCTGTCATCATGTCGTCCCATCCACCCCCCCCCCCCCCAAACCTGGATAGATTGTGCTGTGCTGGCTGGCTGTGCTGTCAGGACTATGAGTTTGTATCTGTATAGACATTGATTGTAGTAGAAAATGTGGCTGCTGTTCTTACTCCAGACCTAGGATTTTTTTTTGTCGGTCGTGGGGCTTGAGCTCTTCAGCTCAAGGCGAGCGCTCTACCACTTGAGCTACAGCGCCACTTCCGGTTTTCTGGTGGTTTATTGGAGATAGGAGTCTCACGGTCTCTCCTGCCCCGGCTGGCTTTGAACCTCGATCCTCAGATCTCAGCCTCCTGAGTAGCTAGGATTACAGGCGTGAGCCACCAGCGCCTGGCAGACCTAGGATTTCTTATCCTTTTGGGCATATGTCTTTCTATTTAGTAACTATTTTCTATGTAAAGTAAGTTATACTCAAATTTGTCATTTCAGGTTCAGACTCTTGAATTCCATATTTTTTTTATTGACTTGACCAGTCTTGAGCCTGCTTATAAGCTTTTTGCTCATAGTTTGTACTCTACCATTTGAGCCACACCTCTAGTCCTTCAATTACATCTTTTATCTAACTGCTACACCTCCAACGTAGAACTCTAATATGTTGGGAGACATTTGTCCATGCTTGTTGCACTGCTCAGGGCAACAAGTTGGTTACCAAACCGTGTGTTGAGTCCAACCAGCTTCCTCAAGTGGTGACTTTGAAGATAGCTTTTCTGTTCATTTGTTTTCCTCAATGTTGGGATTCAAGCCCAGCCTAGGGCCTCATACATGTTAGACACTCTACTACTATGCCTCCAGCCCTCTACTTTTATCTTAATCAGTGTTTAAGACCTTTGTGAAACTATGTATTTAGATTCTGAAAATCTAGCTCCTGGTTATAGAGATATTGGACACCTCATTTCTTCAATTGGGAAGCATTAAAATACAGCTAAGAGCTAATTAAACCCTGAATATGAAAAAGGTATTGGAAATCACACTCCAAAGGCTAAGTTTGAGAAGTTCTGTGTTTTGACCTACAGATGAATCCTTCCAAAGCAAACCTGACCACCAACCTGTGATAATGAAATACCCTTTATTTTCTGGTGATTCAAATTAGGGTCTAGATGGCACAAATGGCAAGAACATATGGGTATATGGCAGAGAACAGACTGGATGACATGCTGGAAAGTCAGGGAAACCATGTGCCATCTCCCCAAGTTTTTTTGTGGAGCTTCCCCTTAAGTTTTGACTTTTAGCTGATTATGGAAATCAATTTTTAGGGTTACAAGTATACTTTCAGACTTTGTAACCTCAGCTATTAAGAACTAACTGAAGCTGGGCACCAGTGGCTCACACCTTTAATCCTAGCTACTAAGAAGGCTGAGATCTGAGGATCACAGTTCAAAGCCAAGACAGACAAGAAAGTCCGTAAGACTCAACAAACCACCAGAAAACTGAAAGTTGTGCTGTGGTTCAAGTGGGAGATCAGTAGCCTTGAGCTGAAGAGCAGAAGGACAGTGTCCAGGCCCAATGTTCATGCCCTACAACTGACCAAAAAAAAAAGAAAAGAAAAGAAAAAGAAAAGAATTAACTCACATGTTATAGGTAGATACTTTTTACAGGTAGATACTCTGGAAAGCCCTCCAAGCTAACATGGGGAAACTTTGTGTGCATTCAGCTTTACCCTGCAGTTCTTAACACTTTGTGGCAAAGCTGTTTCCATGGCATATAACATGCCACTTGCCTTGCTCCCTAAGGCAGAAATTGGTTTGCAAGGACAAATGATATTGTTTCATATGATTTAAAAAAAAGATTCCTTGTTCAGGGTTATATCTCTAGTTTAAGGTAAATCAGTGACAGAAAGTATTAGATGGGTTTTCCACTGTCAATCCTAAAGAACCTTTTGGCCATCTGGGCACTGGTGGCTCACACCTGTAATGCTAGCAACTCTGGAGGCTGAGATCTTCAGGTTTGTACTTCAAAGCCAGCCCACATAGATAAATATATAATACTCCATCTCCCATTAACTAACAAAAAGCTGGCTGGAGGTGTGACTCAACCTGAGCAAGTGTGAGGCCCTGAGTTCAAGTTCCAGTACCAGCCATAACCTAATAAATAAACCTTGGCTCTTAACAGGGCAAAGGAATGAATGATAGAATTTTAATTAGTGTTCAGGGTGATTCCAGCCCTAGGAAGTATTAGATTTTGGGTGCACTTTGAAATTGTAGACCTCTAGCCTCCTTTGTTTGCCCTTTGTTTCACTTTGCTTTTGCCCTCAGCTTTGGACAAGGTGCTTCTGTAACTTGCTTTCTCTGTGAATCCCTCAGGTGAAACAGTGTCGCTTGTGGATGTGGATATTTCTCAGCGGGGCCTGACCTCTCCACATCCTCCAACTCCCCCTCCTCCTCCAAGAAGAAGCCTCAGCCTCCTAGGTATAGTCTCCTTCCTCCCTTTTCTACCAGCTCACCTTAATGGGAGGGTAAACTCTAGGGACTTACTCTTTTCTAGGAGCCAGACAGGCTCCTGGGTTTTTAATGATGGCCCAATTATTTCCTGTCCCTTTCTCAGCTCCCCTGTCATCGTCCTAGACAGTTAAACCTGCATGCTGTAATGTTTACTGTTCATATGTTAATTAGCTTTATACTCATCTTGCCCTCAATCTGCAGCCACAAATATCATTACTCTACTGCTTTCTAAGCAAAGCAAACCAGTTTTAAGTTGTGTAAAACATAGGGTAAAAGTCAGACCACTTTGCCCCAGAGGGCAGCCCAATAATCCTCCCATTCTTTGCCTTCACTTCATTCTGTGCACATTTTTATGACCCTTTTGCTTTTGTTCTCTCTTCTAGATGATATCAGTGGGACGCTGCCTACATCAGTCCTTGTGGCTCCGATGGGGTCTTCCTTGCAGTCTTTCCCCCTACCTCCGCCTCCTCCACCCCATGCCCCAGGTTAGCTTAGCTTAGAGGCTAGACTTGTCAGAATGGAAGAATGGGAGAAATCTATTTATGGAAATAACAACTTTTAAGAAAGCTTAAATCTTTCCCCTTGGCTGGACTAGAACTTTGAACTGAGGCCGAGAACTATTTTTTCTAACCAGTTTCTCAGAGATGAATCTGATTTTTCTTGGGATAAAAGACTACTGAATTTTCCATGCCTACTGCTGACAGTGCTTTGTAGTCCTTGAGTAGCTGTTACTTAGGAATCTGCCTTACTCTTAGGATAGTGAAGAGGTTTAATATGTTGCTGGTTTTCAAAGCTCTTTGATTTTTCTAAGCTTTTAGTATTTATTGCAGCCTTGTAAATAAGTACTAAGCATTTAGTAGCCCATACCTACTTTGCCAGCCTCCTGTACCCAAGGAATAAAATGAACAAAGTCAGTCCATATTGTTTTCTACTTGCCTGGCAAAATCATTACTCTCCATGGGCAAGTAAGCGAGTCACTATTTCCAAGGCTGCTTTACTGGCACTTCACTTCTAGGTGGGAGAAGTTGGAATCGCTCTAGGCTGGTGAAGTCCCTGAAGTAGTCACCTTAGTCAGGTTAGTGAGCAGCTCCCCTACCTCTTTTCTGGGGTTAAATGCCCCCACCCATCCTTCACAGCTTACACGAGCCCACACAGCTTTTTGTTCCAGCCCATTCAGCTCTTTCCCACTGCTTTGGCTTCTACCCTTTCCAGCTTAGCTTCTAATGCCTTTCCCCTCTTCAGTTAGCATCTCTTTTTGGGGGGAGCGTTTTGCGTGTGGGTGGGAGCAGTGATGGTGAACAAGTAACTTTCACTCTCTTGCCCTGTAGATGCATTTCCCCGGATTGCTCCCATCCGAGCAGCTGAATCTCTGCACAGCCAGCCCCCTCAGCACCTCCAGTGTCCCCTCTACCGGCCTGACTCAAGCAGTTTTGCAGCCAGCCTCCGAGAGTTGGAGAAGGTAAGTCATTCCTGAAGACTGGCAGGTACCATTTCTCCTGTGTTTTGAGTTTTGAACCCAGGCTCTCATTGTTTTTAGAAGTAGTTTCCTTGCTTCCCTATTTACAGTGACAGAACAGTATTTTTTATTCCACCAGAGATGTAATAAAACTGAGTTTTGGAGCCAGGCACCAGGCTCATGCCTGTTAATCTTAGCCACTCAGAGGCTGAGATCTGAAGATCAAAGTTTGAGTTAGCCTAGGCAGGAAACTCCATGAGACTCTTATCTTCCATTAAGTACCCCCCTCCCCCCCAAAAAAAAAGACAAATGGAGCTGTGACTCAGGAGGTACCTCACCAGCCTTGAGCAAAAATACTCAGAGATAGCACCTAGGCCCTGAGTTCAAATTCCAGGACTGGAGCCAAAAAATGTAATTAAATTCAGAAATGTTTAAACAGTCCGATTAACCAGAAAACCTAGTGTTTTCTTCATAGTCCCTGAGTAATAAAATGTAGAATTAGTCTTTTTTTTTTTTTTTTTTTTGGTCATAGGGCTTGAACTCTGGGCCTGGGCGCTGTCCTCAGCTCTTTAGCTCAAGACTAGCACTTTACACTTGAACCATAACTCCACTTCCAGCTTTTTCTGCTTATGTTGCTGAGAATCGAACCCAGGGCCTCATGCATTCAAGGCAGTCACTCCATCACTGAGCCACCTTCCCAGTCCCCGAGTCTTTGTTACCTAGAGGAGTAGAAGCATAGTTGGAATTCTTCTAATGGCTTTTACATACTCACATGTCTTAGAGAATGGGGGGTTCCCTCTGGTGAGACAGATTGTGCTGAAAACTCTGTTCTGTTAACTAGTTGGCTGTTTCCTGTCTTTGATAGTGTGGTTGGTATTGGGGGCCAATGAATTGGGAAGATGCAGAGATGAAGCTGAAAGGGAAACCCGATGGTTCTTTCCTGGTACGAGACAGCTCCGATCCTCGTTACATCTTGAGCCTCAGTTTCCGGTCCCAGGGTATCACCCACCACACTAGAATGGAGCATTATAGAGGTAAGAGGTATTGCTGTTGTTAGCCTTCTTCCCTCTATGGTATTTGATTTTTTTGTGGGAAGGATTGTTTTTGTTTTTGTTTTTTTTTTTGGGTCCGGTCGTGGGGCCTGAACTCTGGGCCTGGTGCTGTCCCTCAGCTCTTCAGCTCAAGGCTAGTGCTCTACCACTTGAGCCACAGTGCCACTTCCGGCCTTTTTTTTCTGCTTATGTGGTGCTGAGGAATCGAACCCAGGGCCTCATGTATGCAAGGTAATCGCTCTACCACTGAGCCACCTTCCCAGCCCTCATGGGAAGGATTTACAGGAATGGAACTAGAAATTGGGGATGGGGGGAATTTCATAGGCTCTTTTTGTTTTGTTTTGTTTTGGGTTTTTTTGGGTTGGTCGTGGAACCTGAACTCTGGGCCTGGGTTCTGTTCCTCAGCTCTTCAGCTCAAGGCTAGTGCTGTACCACTTGAGCCACGGCGCTACTTCTGGCTTTTTCTGCTTATGTGGTGCTGAGGAATCGAACCCAAGGCTGCATGCATGCGAAGCAAGCACTCTACCACTGAGCCGCCTTCCCAGCCCCTCATAGGCTCTTTAATGTTTACATGGGCTCTAGTTTTAGTCACTCGAAGAAATATTGGACCCGGGCTCTGATGGCTCACAACTATAATTCTAGCTATTCAGGAGGTTGAGGTCTTAGGATCATGGTTCAAAGCCAGCCTGGGCACGAAAGTCCATGAGACTCTTACCTCCAGTTAACCAGAAAACTAAAAGTGGTACTATGACTCAAAGTGGTAGAGTGCTAGCCTTGAGTAGAGAGCGCTCAGGGATAGCACTCAGACTCCAAGTTTAAGCATGACTGATGGAAATTTTTTTTTTTTGTCAGTCATGGGGCTCAAGTGGTAGGGTGCTAGCCTTGAGCTGAAGAGCTGAGGGACAACACCCAGGCCCAGAGTTCAGCCCCCACGATATATAATGCTAGCTACTCAGGAGGCTGAGATCTGAGGATCGTGGTTCTAAGCTAGCCTGGGCAGGAAACTCCATGAGACATGTATCTCTAATAAACTACTCAAAAAAGCCAGAAGTGGCACTGTGTCAAGTGGTAGAGTGCTCTCCTTGAGCAAAAAGAAACTCAGGGACAATGCTGAGGCCAAGTTTAAGCCCCAGGATGGGGGAGGGGGCACCAAAAATGAAAAATTCATGAAGAGCTATGTGCTGGTGGCTCATGCCTATGATCCTAGCTACTCAGGAGGCTGAGATCTGAAGACTGAGGTTTTTCAGCCAGCCTGGGCAGGAAAGTCTGTGAGACTCTTACCTCCAATGAAACATCAAAAAGCCAAAAGTAGAGGTGAGATGTGACTCAAGTGGTAGACCGTTAGTTTTAGGCCAGAAAGCTCAGGGACAGTGCCCACCCCTGAGTTCAAGCCCCAGGACTGACAAAAAACAAAAAGCAAAAAAACCCAAACAACCAGGGAGACTGTTACCTATTTTCCTGCTGTTCCTTAAAACCAAAGTCAAACAGACAAAACAGAAATACAAAACAAAGTGTTTCAAGAGGGAAGCTGTTTGTTAAACTTATGAAAATGATAAATGACTATATTTTGAGAATGACGAATATCTGGTCTTTAGGTTCCTGATGGTATAAAAGCTTTCTGAATTACTTCTTTCTCTAATTACTTCTTGTTGAAAAAAGCTTTTCTCCCTTGAATAAATGGAGGCCTTTCTCTTGCCAGTTTGCAGTGGGACATTTTTCTTTATCATTTTAAGTGATATACTGTAAGAGTAGCTAGAAGGTTTGAAATCTGCAGTTATGCCGGGTGCCAGTGGCTCACACCTGTAATCCTAGCTACTCGGGAGGCTGAGATCTGAGGATCATGGTTCAAAGCCAGCCTGGGCAGTAAAGTCTGTGAAACTCTTATGTCCAACAAACCACCAGAAAACCGGAAGTGGCGCTGTAGCTCAAGTGGTAGAGCACTTGCCTTGAGCTGAAGAGCTGAGGGACAGCGCTCAGGCCCATGACCGACAAAAAAAAAAAAGAAAAAAGAAATCTGCGGTTA